GGTAGAGTGTGGGCTGAAAGCAGCACGGCTCCCTTCAGCGGTGGTGACATCCAAGTAAGGTACGGCAAAAGCAATAAATAATGACTTGATGTTCACTCAGGAGTACGTTCTGTAGTAGTCCACAATCCTAGAAAAATAAGACACGATTACCATCAGGGCAAGGGGTATACCTTGAATGTGAAGTGTGCTGTTATGCCCCAAAGTAACTGAAAAATGTTCCCTCGAAATGTACAATTTCTCCCTCTTACATCTCACCCTATTGATTTCCACAATACCTCTCTGCTGCACAGGTACAAAAGCATACTTTTCACACATTTCAGCCCCCGTCTGGACTGCATTGAGACTTTAATGCTCCAGTGATCAATGAGATGATTAAAGCAATTTAAAGGCTCCTTTGTTCAGTCTGTGCAATCGAATCTCCTTCATCCTCCAAACTGCTGGGCAGGCAGGGTGTTCCTCTCCTGCTCAGGATAACAACCCCATGAACTCACGTCCCCTGGATTAGAAGTGCACAGGGCGTACATGGCCTTTTTGTCGTATCCCACACAGTCTCCCTAGGGACTGTGCTGCTGCAGTCTGGGAGAGAGGAGGGGTGGGGGTGGCAGTGGCGTGACTCATGCAGCGTCCCCCCTTTCATCTTGACATTTGACATACTGAAGTAGAGGATCTCAGCTGGAACAAACACGCTGTACTATGTCACAGCTGCAATGTCTGTGCCTCTGAGCCCCCGGCTTACAGAGCCGAGGAACAGGTAACAATGAGTCAGCGCCTATTTAATTCATACACCTACGCTCAGAGACTCAGGGGGTCGTTTTCAAGCTGATTTTATTTTTTATTTTACAGTCTTTTTGCCCATGGGAATCCAACATCTCATAATGCTATCGTTCATTGAAAGCCAGTATTGGTTCAATTGCAAGGACTTGAGGGAAAAGGGAGCCAGAGTTGGCAATGTTATTTTTTAAAAGCTCAAGAAACAAAGCTGCAGCCCAACTATAAAGCTGAGTCCTGCAAAGAATTTGGTGATCCATTCTCATTAAATCCTTTTAACTTGACAACAAGGACATTAAAGTGGACAAGGACATTAAGCCACAAAACACAAATGATGCTGCCGAAGAGTAAGGGATACCAGAAGGAGGGTGGTTCCTAATTAAACCCACTGAGACCCTTCCCTATCAGGTGCTCAGTCCTCGGCCCTGCCTCATCAGGGTAGATAAAGCACCTCAGCAAGCAAGACATTAGAAACAGACCACACAGGCTCGCTCTTCACCATCTCTGCTTAGATCAGGTCGCTTTGTTGACAAGCGTCTCAGAGGAGATGCTATCATCCCCTCGATCTATGAGCTGTCCATATACCCAACAGACCAAGGGATACAAAAACAATCTCTACAATGAGTTGGCAGGCAAAACAAGGAGACACAAAAACCAAAAGCATGGAGAAGCTAGTTGTTTAAACCATCTCTTAAAACTCTTTAGTATTTCAATTCAAATGTGGGTTCCTTACTTTCTCTCAAGGATTCAATTCAAAACCATGTTACCCAAAACTAAAGGATAAAAGGCGGTGTTCAATCTTAATCTGCATTCATCAAATTAGGGGGCCTTAATAGGAATGTCAGCTGTCGTAGTTTCAGAAATAAAGACGTCACTAATAATAAGTCTCAAATAACTGAATTCAACAACAGTTGCATGTAAAGATCTCTAACCTTAAGCTCTAAAGCTAAATGGATTCTGTATTGAAAAAAACTGGGGTAGACTCATTTGAACAAAGATGCTGTTGTTTTGTTGCAAAGTCCCTTGAGCTTTTGTCAAAGTAGAGCATTCAAAGCCTGATGGGAGCTGTAGTTGCTGAATAATAACAGTTTTTATGTTATCTTTAGTAGAAGCTTTCGACAGGGTATTACCCATTGCCTGAGATGCCAGAATAAAAGAGATCCAAACTAATAAAAGCACAGGTATCTTCCATTACTCGAGAGCACAAAGTGTGTCCGATTGTCCTTCTCTAACTCACAAGGAGAAACAACCAAGAGCCATCTTCAGTGACTCAAGTATTGACACATTGGAAGTGTGTTGCAGTTGATAAAGAAGATAGGATGTGAGAGAGCCACCTTGGTATGTCCTTAGCTTTCACATTAACAAATTGAATATCTTCTGATCATGTTCGACCAACAATTCAAACAGAGGCATAGTCTCATTTGTTACAAACTGTAATTAATAAAAATAATGTTAGATTCAGCGGGACTTACAATTTTCAGGGATATCTTAATTCCCATGTCCATCGTGAATGACGTCCGCTTTATTTATCCACAGTAAAAATGACTCTTGGCTATAAATATGGTGTTTTAAATCGTCTGCAGTGCTGTAGCGATTTAGTTAAAGTAGTCGGCGTATTTTTCAATTCAATAGGCTCGATTAAGATGTAGCTAAAGTTGTAGCTAACACCTGACTTGTCCACCACACGGCAACACGAGTACTTCCTGTTTACATCTGCAAAATAGCCATTTATGGGAAGTGTAGTCCCAAAACGCAGGGCATAAAGTTCCCCCAAATCAATGCAATACTTGCACATTCAATGCTTTAAGTTTTCAATCGCATTTCAATGGCTGAATATAAAAGTGACCGATAAAATGTAAGAAAGAGTACAGAAGAAAACAAGCGTTTTGTTTACAATTGAATCCCAGAGGACAAGAAAGAAACCCATGTTGCTGGAGCATGTCAGTGGATTCACTTCAAAGTGAAGTCTCAGTCGAGTGTTCAACGCACTTTTATTGTTTAGGTGTCAAATGTAACAGTGTCACCATTCAGAGAGGGAATGAAGAGTAAATGGTCACATAAAAAAATATAAAATCAACAATGAAAATGGTCACACGGGGAAAGTCTGGTTCCCGTGGCAGTACAGATGTACATTTGAGACAGTGTCCAGATTCAGTTTGTACACGTTTGTTTTGCACATTTCCACAGTCTATATTTATCTCAAACTAGAGTCCTTTTTTTGTTTACTAGCCATGCATACAGTTGACAATTCCACATGTGTTGAGTCAGTGTCTTCACAGGAGCTGGCACTTTCAATACAAAATATTTACACTACCATTTATTATTCCTATTATCTTCTCATTCATCCTTACTAAGGATTTGAACACTGAGCACATACATAAGGATCAGGATGTTAAAAACTCTTGGGCACCTCATTTCATATTGAGCGGAGAAGTAAAAGAAAATGTAAAGTATGACAAATGTTGGCATCTTCACTTTAAATGTCATCCATTCCTGAAAGAGTTTAGAGATATCGTCTGTAAATATTCAAACACTGAAAACATCAACTCTTAGTCCCATCAGGATGAAGCTGATAGTTGTATTTCTACTCAGCAATGTGCTGTCAGTCTCCCAGAGAGAAAAATAAAGAGATGACTGCACCAATGTTTCAAAGATAAATGCTGACTTCCACCATTTTCTCTCCATTCCTTTTTTAATAACAAAAAAAAAAGAAAAGAAAATGGTTCAGCCCTGTGATGAGTAGAAAAACCTCAGAAGAACTACTGCACAAAATAAGCTGGGAGAAAATGTGTGCATAATGTAAATCAAATACTCCTTAATACTTAAAACAACGGGATCCAAGAAATATGATTTTGGATTTGTGTACGGTAGATACCTTCAGATCAAGGTAACAAAAAATGTATTTTCCGTGATACAAATACAACCAGGAGAAGATATTGTAACTCATTTTGACAGATTGTAAAACAACACAAGGGTAAAGATCCTGATTTGTGACTGTTTGCTGATGATTTCTCCCTACAACTTGAAAGGATAAAAACAAATCCAAACAACAGAGAGAGTAACATAAGGCGAGGGCATGTTCCGTTTTTGTCATTTGACAATTTCTCTTTCTGCAAATTCCTGGAGTTCCTCTTTCAAAATGTATTCATTACTCACATGTTGTCATAAATATTCATGTCACTGCCGATGTTATGCTCAGTGGAGTTCAAATCCATCGCGTTCAACAGTGAATTTTCCTTTATTTTAATTGGCATGTGTGTCTTAGTGTGTGTCTCTGCTGCGGGGAAGGTAGCTTTCTCTAAGTAGACATTTTGCCTGGGTGGTTCCTGACGGGCCCCCGGGGCTATTGTATATTGCAAGAGGAGCAGCAGGGGTCGTCCTTGTCTGGCTGGGCGGCGTAGTCCATCTGCCGAACGATCTCAGCGAACAGTTCGTCTACCATGGTTTTGCTCTTGGCCGAGGTCTCCATGAACGGGCAGCCCCACTCCTCGGCCAGGGCCTGACCTTCGCTGGACGATACCTCCCTCTCACTCTCCAGGTCCACCTTGTTCCCCACCAGAATCACAGGAACCTTCTCGTACCTGAGGACAAATAAGGACACACACATGAGAAGATGTATACAGATATATCCGCCATCAGTCTTGTCTATTATCTATCACTGTTTATTACAGGAAGCATTTTATGGGCCCATCGTCATTGCAAGAGTACATTGTTGTGAACATGGAGTTAAAACTACCTTGTGCCTCAGAAATGGCTGATTTGTATTCATTTATAATTTAAAACTGACTGTTTCATCCAAGAAATCCAGATGTTTTCCCTGATAGTCTGTAAACTCCCACCCTATCTTATAACACCATCTAAAGCTGGGCCCAGTAGAAAGCAGGAAATGGGCGGTAGAGCTCTGACTCCTGAGGGTAGGAAGTGGCCATAATCCTTTGAGCTCTGAACTCTTGGACTCGTGCAGAACAACATGTCACTGGTCTACTTAGCGGACAGCAGGTAGAGACAGCCGGTTAAATTAAATAGGTAACAGCACTATAATTATTAGAAGAAAAGTCTCTGATGCAGTGTCACCAATGTAATCACTACATCAGTTTTGATAAGGGGAAACATGGCGGGCCACTGAGACGGTTTACACATCAGAGGAGATAACAAAGATCAAAAACATTGGAGAGATATCAGATCATGCATATCCACATCCTTTGATAAACAACAGGTTGTTATTTCTTTCATCCTTATCAGTGTGTCAGGCTGGCAAAGGACAGATTTATATCCGTCCGACACATCGTTTGAAATAGGTTTAAATTTGTCTGTTCGCAACACTGAACAACATGGCTGAATCTAAGAGTCATGCACCCAAACACCCATCAACATCAGCAGGGTTTTCAAATCCTGCCCCTTGCTCTATTAAATATATATGCTGCTAAATTATTTATAGAAAGAAAAACAACCTCCTACTTCAATTACTATGGTAACAGGTATACAAGGACTTAACCAATGAAGGTGAGATGGGCAGACAGCAGAAGATTTGTTCCGAAGTGGAGCAGCCTGAGTAAGTCAGAGGCCAGGGGCTGCAGGTTTCACCGTTAAATAAGCTTAAACTTTCCGAGAACAGGGAGCCGACTTTGATCTTCTCATGAATACTTCATCCAGAGTGAACTTTAATCTCGACTATCTCGTTCTGTTCCCAGGGTCGGCTTTGCAGCGCAGAGGAACTACCAGGATTTAGGAGACGATCTTAGAGGTCTGCCGGTGCGTAACCAAGTGTGTGATAGTGTTCTACGAGCTCGGAGGCAACTTTAATGAGAAGCTACATCTTACTGTAGCCTCTCAACTTTAACATGCGGTGGATTAAACAGGTCTCATTCATTGCATTCCTGGTGTCAATTAAATACAAGCCAAGGCCATTATTTTCCTGAGAACTATTTCGGACCACATGTCGTTGGTGGTAGGCAGCTCTTGCATTGAAGCTAAAATATATTTCGTTGAAAAAACCTAAACATAGTTGTGGGTGAGGAGATTGAAAGGCAAACATTTGATTTGATAGCTGCACTTTTTAAGGAGGAGCCATGGGGGCTCAGCGTTTATTCGAGGTAATAGTGCCGTTTCTGTTCTGCCCCCAGATGTGGTTTTAGCTCGAACCTCCTGCTGTAAATCCCTCAGAGAGTCCTATGGAAAGCAAACTATCTTATATTATCTACCATTACATTCTGTTTCATACCCACTCTCACTTTCCTGTCGGAGTTGTGACTCGCTTCTGAAAAAAACGTTTCAGGCTGCTTATTACCTGAGCTTTCAGTATAGAGTCATGCTGGATTCATATAACAGCAGGGCTGCAACTAAAGTAATATAATAGTTAGTAAATAGTATAATAAGTCAAACTAAAACTAGTTGCCAATACATCCTCTGTCAATACATTGATTTATTTGTTTATTGTTCCAGCTATATTTAATGGTGATGAATCATTATCACATATTTTCTTTGGCATACCACCCTGTCGATTCTTTCCAAACCACAGACAGCATGTGAGCAGGTATGGATTCAAGTAAAGTCAGTCCAATAAAAGTCAGCTGAAGTGCTGTAGGTTTCATTTTATTTTTAACCAAAATGAAGGACTTGACTTGGTCAGGCATATGCAAGTTATGCAGCTCATTTAGTACCACACTGAGACATCTGGTACCAAAGGAGAGGGTCTATATTTAGTCATAATAGCAGAGGAGGAAACCGGCAGTCCCATGAAGTGTGAGACAGTGGCTGCCACGGATACCGATGCTCCCAGGGCCGCTACATGAAGGGTGTCAACCACACTTTGACCCAACAGTGGCTGATGCAAGAAGGCAATGCATGTCCGTAACAGAGAACAAACACAGAGCGGTTTAGACACGGGCCTCAAAAGACAAATGAATAACTGCTTGTGTTTGTGCTGCGACACAAACAGCCCAACAACATGTCATGCTTTAGCCTGCAGCTTTTGAGCTTGACGATGCCCCGCATTGGAGCTGTCTGACTTCAGACACCCTTTCGAGCTCGCCCAGACACACCTTATCTATAATGCATGATGCATCAACTCACATAGGCTTTGCTGACGGACGATGGAACCCAGCGGGCAAAGCGTCTCTAGACCTGGCCAACAATGTCAGGATGAAGGAGGAAACAGGCTGCGTGCTGGGCCTTCTCCCAACGGCCCTTTTGTGAAAGGGTCTTCGGTTAAGTCAGTGGAGAGGCATCGGCTGAGTCATAGAGCAGCATTACGCTCCTCTCTTCTGGCGCAGTTTCAGGGCCAATAAAGATTTCATCAGGAATAGATATTTGTAAAGTCTTTGGTAAACACGCCATGGCAAGCACATACATTTTTCATGATATTTTCAGCTTATCCAAAGAACGAAAGATTAAAAGAGAAAAAAGGGAGACAATATGAGGGACTTAAAGTCCCTCATATTTTCTCAAGGTTGTACAAACCAATTCTCTGCTTCCCTTTTACTCCAAAAGCCACGAAAATGTTTTCAGATCGCTTTCCAGTAGTGGTAAGAGGTAAGAGTAGGTTAAGAGTGCATTAAGTTCCAAGAATGCAGGGTTGTTGGTTGTTCCTAGAGTCTCTAAAAGTACAATGGGAGCCAGAGCCTTTTCTTATCAAGCTCCACTTTTGTGGAATCAGCTTCCAGTTTGTGTTCGGGCGGCAGACACCCTATCCGTTTTTAAGAGTGCGCTTAAGACCTTCCTTTTTGATAAAGCTTATAGTTAGGGCTGATTAGATTCAGCCCCTTGTTTTGCTGATATA